AGCTTACTTCTCCTAGACACTTCCACTCAAACAATCCAAGAGTCAGGGGTGATCAAACTGCTCAGTCTTTCATTGTCATGCCATGTTCATTAATGCTTTCACTTTCTATTTATTTTTTTATTATGTGTTAATTTAGGAAAATGTATTTGTCTAGTAAAACAGCAAAACAGGCATCAGTTTAGTGATCTGATGTTGGATCATTTCAAAATAACAGCTGTGCTCTCCTGCATTATGGACTCTTCCACATTGAAGTGTCTAGGGGAGGTGAGTATGGAGTGAACTGGGAGAGGACCTAGTTTGAATTAGGAAGGCTGTAAGGCAGGGTTAGGCAGGTCTGCGCCTACAGAGCTCACGCCAACAAACAGAGTTCCTCACAGCAAGAACAGAATCACAGAAACCAAGGCCAGAAACTGTAGATGCGAAATGCTAAACATGTTTTAGTTCATTTTCCTGTAGATACATTTCAAAATTCAATAACTCCAATCCTGAATCAAAATAAACACAAGAAAATAGTTGTCCATGACTTTTGTAGAACTTTTATATCTGAATCATTAATCTGCTAAATCATTTCATTTTCTAGTTATTTTAGGATGAACAAATATGGAAGTGCTTTATGTGATTTCTTCTCTCTTGTAGGTCATACAATTGTATAACTATATATCCATATAAAGAAAAATAAATGCTTCTAATAAATGTAAAAAAATGAAAATATTTGATGATGGACAGGTTTCCAAACTAAAAGTCCTCTAAGTCTCATTTTATGAGGGTTTACTGTCATGTACTTACCAGAATATTTCACTGGAGCTGTTTCCATGATCAGTTCTTGCTCTTCTTGTTTTTTTGTCTTCAGCTTGATGTATATTTATATGAGATCTTCAGGGGCCTGAACAAAATTCAACCCCAACTGACTTCTGCTAGACACTTCCACTTGGGACAATACAAGTTGCAGGGGTGATCAAACTGCTCACATTTTCATAATCATGTTATATTTGCTCTCTATTGCTATTGGTTTTGTTTTTTAATTGCTTTTTTAATTTCTTACATCAGAGCAACATGCATTTGCAGAAAATATGTGATTGCATGCATTAATTTAGAGATCTGGTGTTGGATCATTTAAAAATAACAGCTGTGCTCTCCTACATTATGGACTCTTCCAAACTGAAGTGTGTAGGGGAAGTGAGTTTGAAGTGAATTTGGGCGACGCCCTCGTTTAAAGCAGGAAGTCTGTGAGAGAGCGTGAAGAAGTACTACACCTACCAAATGCAAACAAGCAACAAGCCAACAAGCTCCTTGTAGAGACATGAGGTTTTGTCCAACAGCAACCAAATGCTCAAAGAATGACTCTACACTCTTCCGGAGGTTCTTTAAAGTTTGAAAAGGTCCTTCATCTTCACACATCTAATTTAGATCAATGTTCTCTAAAGAACCACATATTTAAAGTTGGTCTTCTATGATTTTTCTATTGTATTATATAAAGAACACTTTGTGGCACCTTTATTTACAAAAGATGAATTATATCCTCATTGTTCTTCTCAGATCTCTAATAAAGGAATTTACTAGATCCAAAACATTGTCAAGTCTTCTTAACATAATCTGCCCTAATAAGTCTTCTGCTGTGAGGAGTTTCTCTGTTACTCAGTGGAAAATTCCACTGGTGCTGTTTCTCTGATCAGTTCTTGCTCTTCTGGTTTGTATATTTGCATGTTTGTACAGCATGTTACAGATTCGAGCCCAGCTTACTTCTCCTAGACACTTCCACTCGAACTATCCACGTGACAGTGTTGATCAAACTGCTCAGTCTTTCATTGTCATGCCATGTTCATTAATGCTTTCACTTTTTATTTATTTTTTTATTATGTGTTAATTTAGGAAAATGTATTTGTCCAGTAAAACAGCAAAACAGGCATCAGTTTAGTGATCTGATGTTGGATCATTTCAAAATAACAGCTGTGCTCTCCTGCATTATGGACTCTTCCACCCTGAAGTGTCTAGGGGAAGTGAGTATGGAGTGAACTGGGAGAGGGCCTAGTCTGAATTAGGAAGGCTGTAGGGCAGGTTGAAGCAGGTCTGCGCCTAGAGAGCTCATGCCAGCAAGCAGAGTTCCTCACAGCAAGACCAGAAACACAGAAACAAACACCAGAAAGTGCAGATGCGAAATGCTAAACATGTTTTAGTTCATTTTCCTGTAGATACATTTCAAATTTTTATACTTAGAATGTAATGTTTAATAACTGCAATCCTGAATCAAGCTAAACAGAAGAAATTGGTTCTCCATGACTTTTGTAGAACTTTTATATCTGAATCATTAATCTGCTAAATCTAATTCTAGTAATTTTTTGGATGAATAAATGTGTTTCACATGATTTCTTTTCTAGACCTTATAGTTCAGGTATAACTATATAACTTTAAGGAAATATTGTATATAAAGAAAGATAAATGCTTCTCACAAATTTCATGTAAAAAATGAAAATTTATTTGATGATGGACAAGTTTCCAAACTAAAAGTCCTCTAAGTCTTATTTTATGAGGGTTTACTGTCATGTGCTTACCAGAATCTTTCACTGGAGCTGTTTCCATGATCAGTTCTTGCTCTTCTTGTTTTTTTTTGTTTTTTTTTTTGTGTGTGTGTTCAGCTTGATGCATATTTATATGAGATCTTTAGGGACCTGAACAAAACTCAAACCCACCTGACCTCTGCTAGGCACTTCCACTTGGGACAATACAAGTTGCAGGGGTGATTAAACTGCTCACATTTTCATTATCATGTAATTTTTGCTATTTACTTCCTATTGGTTTTGTTTTTTAATTGTTTTTTTTTATTTCTCACATCACAGAAACATGCATCTTCAGAAAATGTCACTCCAGACATTAATTTAGAAATCTGGTGTTGGATCATTTAAAAATAACAGCTGCGCTGTCCTGCATTATGGACTCTTCCAAACTGAAGTGTGTAGGGGAAGTGAGAAGGATCTGAATTTGGGCGACATCCTTGTTTAAAGCAGGAAGTCTGTGAGGGAGAGTGAAGAAGTACCACACCTACCAAATGCAAACAAGCAACAAGCCAACAGTCTGCTTGTAGAGACCGGTTTTGTCCAACAGCAACCAAATGTACAGTGTATTACTCTGCACGCTTAATTAAGGTGCTGCAAAGGGTTTTTCGACTGATGCCATAGAAGACCGAGAAAAGGCACTTTTGAAAAAGATTTGTGAGTGTGAAGAACCTTTTAAAAATGTAAAGAGCTTTCACATAATGTGCAGATTCTGCATAAAATTAAGGGCTCTTCCTAAAACTGTTACATCATGTTTCAAAAGATCCTTTAGACTCATTAACATTTCATTAACATCAATGATTCTCCAATAACTACATTTTTTAGAAGTGTTTCTTCTATGATTCTTCTATTTCATTATATAATTTTTTTTTTTTTGCATTTCTTAAAATATTTGTAATTCACAAAAGATTATGTCCTCATTGTACTTCTCAAATCTCTAATAAAGTTACTAAAATTACTAAATCTCATGATGAGCTGATTTAAAAAAACTGCCCTAATAAGTCTTATGCTGTGATGAGCTACTCTTTTACTCAGTGGAAATCTACTGGCGCTGTTTCTCTGATCAGTTCTTGCTCTTCTGGTTTGTTTTTATGTGTTTGTACAGTGTGTTACAGATTCATTTAGGATCATCAAGAGCCTGAACAAAATTCAACCCCAACTTACTTCTCCTAGACACTTCCACTTTGGACAAACATGTGTCCAGACAAAATGTCTTTCAAGGTATTAGTCTGAGTGATCTGATGTTGGATCATGTAACAATAACAGCTGTTCTCTCCTGTGTTATATACTGTTCCAGGTTGAAGTGTCTAGGGAAAGTGAAAAGGATATGAATTTGGGTGACGTCCTAGTTTGAAGCAGGAGATTGTACCACACCTACCAAATGCCAACAAGCAACAAGTTCATGCCAGTAGTTATCATTTCATGAATGTGAAAGATTACTTTCGTGTCTCGTAGCTTTCTGTTTCTTTCAGTTTCATCTTCATAAAATTCACAAACACAACAAAAATGCAAATGTTAAATACTTTCTATGTTGTTTAGTTCAGTCTCTACAGTCATTTTCCAGCAATTAGTTTAAAGTGTGATATTTATCATCTCCAGTGCTGCATTAGACAGAAATACAGAACTCAGAAGAGCCCCGACTTGCATTGCTGAGCAAGTCAGACCAGAGAACAATCACAGATCATTAAAAACAAACTCAAGTGTATTAGATGATGGGTGTGAGAGCCTCAGGGTAGAAGTCAGGTCACATCCTGCTGAAACTTTAGCCACAAACTGTGCAAACAGGAACTGTTCATAATAAATAACTCATACCTTTATTTATTTTAAAAATATTTTGGGCTCTTTAATCATTATTGCTGTAAATCTTTTTTGCTTTTGATGGACAGAGAAATACAGATCTGCACTGACTAGCCACAGCATACAAAAATTATACCCCCCTATTTTCTCACATAACTGAAAAAAGGAAGTTAAACCAAAATACCAACAGTGCCCAGGCACCCGTAATGGTTTGGTGTTTTGATAACTGGCCGAATGAGTGCATTTAATGAGGGTTTAACCTTAAAAGCAGGGATAAATAACTAGTGCTGTTGTAAGACAAAATCTTGTTGCTTTTCTTGCTTGTTCTTGTTTGTTCTTGTTAGTTGAGATCCTGAACACAATGCAACTCCAACTTACTTCATCTATACATTTCCACTCAGGAAAACCCAAGCCAGGGATGATCAAACTGCTCTTTAAAAGCAACAATGTTTAATGATCATGTCATTTTTCCTTTTTTTAATTTATTTTCTTCATGCACTTTAGAAAAAGGGTCAAATAAACAAACATTCAAGGTTTTAGACTGAGTGATCTGATGCTGGTTCAGTTAAAAATAACAGCTGTGCTCTCCTGCATTAAGAACTGTACTAGGTTAAGTGTCTAGGGGAAGTGAGTATGAACAGAACTTGGAGACATCCCAGTTTAAAGCAGGAGGGCTATAAGGCACATTGAAACAGTGTCACACCCAAGGAGCACCCAGCTACAAGCAGAGAGTCCATTCCAGGTGATGGAGGTTTGTCTTATTTCCTAATATATTTGTGAATTGTTGTTTTATAGACTCTACCAAGGCTCCCTCAAGGGTTCCTCTTCAGTACCTTTAGTTAGGGAACATAATTGTACCATATTTTGTTATTAAGTTATATGTTTTAAGTTGTATTGACTCTATACACCCTGCCCTGCCTCTAGGCTTTTAGCTTTACTGTTCTGTTTTAAAATATTACATTATAGAAAGACACAAATATGAACCTTTCCTTTGCTAAATTGAATGTAGTGTACCATAAGAACTCATTTAGGCTACACAACTGGACCTGCAGACCATTGTTGTACATTTTAGGTATATTTATACTGTTTACAACTTGATGAAGAGAAAAGTGTAACTGTACCATACTCATATTTTAGATGATGTACAGAAGAATGTTGCTTTGCCTTTGTAATACAGCCAGCAGGTTTACTGTGTGGTCTCAAATGGCACGCTAACGTATTCAAAGAGAGAATCATAGCAGGTTGCTTCTCTTAACACTTTACATTTTAAACAACTTCTCACCTGTTGTAAATGGATACAAAAGTAACACAGGCATAAATTTAAAGGCCAGTTTAAGCCACATCATTTTATGTGAGGAAAATCTTTATAGACATTAAAAGATTAAGCATATAAGAATAAACCAGAAATGGAGATTAATGAGGATGAGTTAAAGTAGACAGATGTATGTAATATTCTGCACTTTTACATTGATGAACTATCAGATCAGAAGAATTTATAAAGACATTTTGCTGCTGAGCTGCAAAATTTAAATTAGTCTTCTTCTGGACCCCCAGAGATGTAGTACTCGTCAGCCTTGGCAGAGGGAAGCATAAGACCACCCAAACTTTCTTTTGACTACCACCAGTAGTCTCTGTGCTGCAACTGCCATGTTACCTGTAGAAACGAGAATGCGTACTCTCGCATTCAGGCAGTTTATATCAGTAAAAGCTGGTGTATTGGTTTTGGATGGTCTTATGACAACAGAGAACTGGATTGTCCAGGTATATAGGAACGCCACAGGACAATGATGGCTAGTTCTGGGTGATGTGTTGTTTATTTATGTATATTATCAAATAATGAATTCCACTGTCTGCATGCATATCTGCACAGTGCAAAATTTTCGGGGTTGGCGTGGCCTGTGGTGGTGGAGCCCAGTGTGATTCTTCTATTGCATTATATAAAGAACACTTTGTGGCACCTATATTTATTTTGTCTAATTTACAAAACATAAATTATTTTCACTTTGTGCTTCTCAAATCTCTAATAAAGGAATTTACTAGATCCAAAACATTGTCAAGGCTTCTTAACATAATCTGCCCTAATAAGTCTTCTGCTGTGAGGAGTTACTCTGTTACTCAGTGGAAAATTACACTGGTGCTGTTTCTCTGATCAGTTCTTGCTCTTCTGGTTTGTGTATTTGCATGTTTGGACAGGGTGTTGCAGATTCAAGATCTTCAAGCACCTGAACACAATTAAACTCCAGCTTACTTCTCCTAGACACTTCCACTTGGAAGTTGGATCCAAGCTGTAAGGGAGGTCAAACTGCTTACTAAGTGCAGCATTGTTTACTGATCATGTTGCTTATTCACATCATATTACGTTATCATTTCTGAGCTTCATGTGTTTTAGACAAACATATGTGTCCAGAAAAAAATGTGTTTCAAGGTATTAGTCTGAGTGATCTGATGTTGGATCATGTAACAATAACAACTGTTCTCTCCTGCGTTATATACTGTTCCAGGTTGCAGTGTCTAGGGAAAGTAAGAAGGTTGTGAATTTGGGCGACGTCCTAGTTTGAAGCAGGAAGCCTCTGAGGGAGATTGTACCACACCTACCAAAAGCTAACAAGCAACGAGTTCATGCCAGTAGTTTTTATTTCACTGTTTACAGTCATGAATGTGAAAGATTACATCTTTGTCTCATGGAGATAAATATACTTTGTGCTACTGTTGTTTTAAATACTTCTAGGGCACATTTGAACTCATCTGAGTTTTATTTTCTGAGCTTCCTTTTTCTTTCAGTTTCATCTTTATAGAATTTACAACTAAACACCACAAAAAAGCAAATGCTAAATACTTACCATGTTGTTTAGTTCAGTCTCTACAGTCATTTTTCTGCAATTAGTTTAAAGTGTGATATTTATCATCTCCAGTGCTGCATTAGACAGAAATACAGAACTCAGAAGAGCCCCGACTTGCATTGCTGAGCAAGTCAGACCAGAGAACAATCACAGATCTTAAAAACAAACTCAAGTGTATTAGACGATGGGTGTGAGAGCCTCAGGGTAGAAGTCAGGTCACATCCTGTTGAAACTTTAGCCACAAACTGTGCAAACAGGAACTGTTCATTATTATTAACTGACATATTTCACAACTGACTGACTCATACCTTTATGCATTTTCTCATCAAGGTTTCAAGATATAAAGTACAGAGAAAAAGAAAGTCATTTAAAAAACATTTTGTACTCTTTGATCATTATTGCTTTTGATGGACAGAGAAATACAGACCTGCAGTGATTAATTACAGTATACAAAAAGTATACCCCCTATATTACTTCTCACATAACTGAAAAAAAGGAAGTTTAAATATATCATAATGAGCAGACCAAGATACCAACAGTGTCCAGGCTTCATAAAGATTTGGTATTTTGATGACTGGCCGAATGAGTGCATTTAATGAGGGGTTACCCTTAAACACAGGGATACTAGTGCTGTTGTAAGACGAAATCTTGTTGCTCTTCTTGATTTTTTTTTTTGTTTTTTTTTGAGATCCTGAACACAATTCAACTCCAAATTACTTCATCTATACACTTCCACTCAGGAAAACCCAACACTGATCAAACTGCTTTTTAAAAGCAAGAGTGTTTAATTATCATGTCATTTTTCATTTTTCATTTATTTTCTTCATGCATTTTAGAAAAAAAGGTCAGATAAACAGACATTCAAGGTTTAAGACTGAGTGATCTGATGCTGATTCTGTTAAAAATAACAGCTGTGCTCTCCTCCATTATGGACTCTACCAAGTTGAAGTGTCTAGGGTTTAAAGCAGGAGGGCTATAAGGCAGATTGAAACAGTGTCACACCCAAGGAGCTCCCAGCTACAAGCAGAGAGTCTGTTCCAGGTGACAGAGGTTTGTCTTATTTCCTAATATATTTGTGAATTGTCATCTTATAGACTCTAACAAAGGGCTCCCTCAAGGGTTCATCTTCAGTACTTTTATTTAGGGAACATAATTGTACCATATTTTGTTATTAAGTTATATGTTTTAGGTTGTATTGACTCTATACACCCTGTCCTGCCTCTAGGCTTTTAGCTTTACTGTTCTGTTTCAAATATTACATTATAAAAATATATACAAATATGAACCTTTCCTTTGCTAAAGTGAATGTAGTGTACCACAGGAACTCATTTAGGCTGCACAACTGGACCTGAAGACTATTGTTGTACATTTTAAAGGTATATTTACACTGTTTGTGACTTGATGAACAAAAGTGTAACTGTACCATACTCATATTTTAGACCGTGCACAGAAGACTGTTGCTTCTTAATACAGTTTACTGTGTGGTTTGAAATGGCACTAACATATTTAAAGATAGAATCATAGCAGCCCTTACAAAAAAGTATACTTCATTTCCCAAGTACACTTTATGTAGTAAGTATACTAATATCAATGTACTAGTAATATACTTGTAAGTGTACTATTTCAGTACTTCTTGGGAATAAATTGGCCCACTTTTTAGTTTATAAAAGTATACTTTGAAGCATACTACAAGTAAAATTACATACATCCACTGGCCTGACTGCATGTCTTTGGACTATGAGAAGAATCTGGAGTACCTGGAGGAAACCCACGTAGATACAGGGAGAACATGCAAACTCAACACAGAAAGGACCCTGGTCACCCAGCCAGGAAATTGAATCCAGGTCCTTCTAGGTGTGAGGCAAGAGTGCTACCCACTGTGCCACCATGCCACCCTGTTACTTTATACACTGTTACTTTATACTTACTTATACTGTTCTTGAGTACATCTAAAGATGAAGTACAAGTACAGGCTGGATATAGTCAAACCTTTCTTTACATGTCAAGTATACTTAGGTATAATTTTGTTTAGCATACCTCTGATAAGTACATACAAGTATACTGAAAGATACTTACTTATTTTTTAGTTTAAAAGAAGTATACTAATAGCATACTTGAATATACCTCTTTTTTTGTAAGGGAGGTTACATCTCTTAAGATTTTACATTTTAAACACCTTCTCACCAGTTGTAAATGGGTACAAAATCAACACAGACATATTTTTATAGGCTCATTTAAGCCATGACCACATCATTTTATGTGAGGAACATCTTAATAGAAGTCAAAAGCTTAAGCATATAAGAATAAGCCAGAAATGGAGATGAAAGTAATGGGGATGAGTTAAAGTAGACTTATGTATGTCTGCACTTTTACATTGACCAACCATCAGTTCAGACTAATTCATTCACATTCCTCATTTTGTTGTCAGAGACATTTTGCTGCTGAGCTGCAAAATTTAGGTTAGTGTTCTTTTAGGACCCCTACAGCTGCAGTACCCGCCAGCTCCTGCAGAGGGAAGCATAAGACCACCCAAACCTTCTGTTCATTACCACCAGCAGTCTCTGTGCAACAGCTGCAATGGTAACTTTAGAAACAAGAATGTGTGCTCTCACATTCAGGCAGTTTATATTAGTAAAAGCTGGCATATTGGTTTTGGATGGTTTGTGACAACAGAGAGCTGGAGTAACCATCTATATAGGACCACCACGGGAGTTCTGGGTGATGCGTTGTTTATATATAGATGTTATCAAATAGTGAACTCCACTGTATGCATGCATATCTGCACAGTGTAATATTTTCAGTGTTAGCGTGGCCTGTGGTGGTGGGCCTGATGTGATATCTTTTCATGGGCCCAAAATCCCTGGCACCATCCCTGGTTGTGATGTAGGCATTTGATTTTGAAAGCTAGCGACTATGGAAAGTAATTCTTCAAAAAGTGCATGTCGAGCAATTATGTAATAATTGTGATTAGATTTATTTGTAAAAATATTACACATCATTTCCCCACCAATCACATAGATACAAATATCACATGTTGTGAAAAAAGGAAATAACCTCAAAATGTTATTATTTTTAATACAAATCTAAAATAGAAACTAAAGAAAAATAAAAAACTAACTTAAAAGCTCACAAAAACCTTCATAATATTTCTTCAACAGAATTGAAACTGTTAATTGTTTCCATTGAAAATAGGCAGCTATTTATTTTGCAAAACAGTACTTTTTTAAACAAAGATGCGAAAAATGTGCCACCAGTTTTTCTTCTTTTGTTTTTCCAGTTCTTCCTCTATCACCCTCCTCTTCGCCTCTTCTTCCTTTCTGATCTCTCTTTCCCTAATCAGTCTTTTCCACTCCTCCTCCTCTCGTACATCCCTCACTTTCATCTCACGTCTCTTCTTCTCCACCTCCCTCATCTCTTTCCTGATCTCCCCTCTCTTCTTCTCTTCTTCTTCCCTAATCTCTCTCTCCTTTTCCACCATACACCTCTCCTCTTCCTTTAGCCTTGAACTTCTCCATTCTTTAAGACTGATTCTGCTGATGTTAAAAGTGCTCTTGTTGTCATACGTCATCCTGTCTATCTTGTTCAGTAACTCTGAAACCTGATTGAAATCTTTGGTTTCTCTGTTGTTCATGATGTGGTATCTGCCTCCACAGAGGCGAAGAAGCTTCTGGAGCTCCACACTTTCATTAAGAAACTTCTCCATTGGTTTTCCCTCCAGCAGATCTCCACCAGTAAACAGTACCATGGTGGACATCAGAGCTTCTTCTCGTAAGTTCTCTTCAATCCATGTCACTGTGTTTCTCTCCTCTTCTGTGAGTCTCCCCACTCTGATCACCAGAAGGAACACATGAGGTCTAGGAGAAGCCATTCGGACACACTCTAATTCTTGGTCAGATGACTGCCACATGTCCATAATGGGAGGTGTGTCAATGACGGTGATTTTTCTCCCTCTAACAACTTCAGTCCATCTCTGACAGTTTCTGGTCACAGACACAGGCGATGCTTCTGCCCTGAAAGCATTTTGGCCCAGGATGGTGTTTCCTGTTGCACTCTTCCCTGCTCCAGACTTGCCCAACATCATCAGTCTCACCTCAGGTCCAATCTGAAGATATGCTGGACATGAAGAATGTGAATGCAATTCCATAAGTGAGAATTACTTTGCACTTTTGTGTATGTATTGGTAATAATGTATTTATAATATATATATATATATATATAATGTAATGATATAATTCTTCAAGGGATGATATTCAGGACTCTTATCTTAATTGTTTTAAACAAATGAATGCATAGACACACCTTTTGGAGTAAGTGAAGTCCAAGTGAAGTACAATTTAAATAAGAACAGGTAGGCTCCATATGCAAGCCAGATTAACCTGGAGTTAAACTTTCCTCGCTGAATACAAAAATAGCACACAATATTTAGCTATTCCTTCACAAATTTAACAAATCCAGGATATTATATTAAAATGCAGTATACTCAGACATAGACAGTGCTGTAAAAAGTATTTGCCTCACTTCTTTTTACAAATTTTCGCATTAAATGATCCTCATGCACAACATAATATAAAAGAAGCAGAACATGAGGGAAAACAGAGCTCAGTTGTTAACGATCAATTCACTGATTGAAGGAAACATATATTACCCATGTAATTGGCCCCTAAACTTGTTGTGCCACCTTTGGTTGCATCTTCACTGTGAACGAATTTGGCGGTGTAGTCAGGATTTTGACTAGGCCTTTGCAAAACCTTCTTTTTGTCTCTTTTAAGGCAACAAACCAATTTTCCTCACATTACACGAACGACAATGACAGGGTTAATAATAAAGGGAAGAGTTCAGTTAAGTCAATAAAAAGCATGTATCTGGCCATACTATCTCTTAGTGGACACTTTTAAACCCCTTTTTTAAATTTCAGTATAATTTTCTTTGTGAGAATTTTATGAGAATTTGCAGAAGTATGTTTGTTGCCTAGAAGCAATATTGTAAGGCAGTGGAATGGATTCAGCCAGTGACAAGCCAAATCTCGCTATTTCAGGGAACACAGATCTATATCATTTCTTCGCATTGTTGCAGAATGTTGCCTCAAGGCAACATACCCCAAAAGAACCCCTGTACACATTATTATTTAAAAATGATTTTGAATTTAATAATTTGGTTGATTTTATGCAAGAAAAGTGAATTGAATATATTTTTAATTGCACTCATAATGCATGCAGTAGAGGGTTAAGTCATTCAGATGTGAACTTGCTCTTGCGTTTAGGTTCATTGTCTTGCTGAATAAATCAAACATGCTTGAGCTTCAGATGATGGACTGGTGACCACAAATTTCCCTGCAGAATTTTTTGGTGGAGAGTAGAATTTATGGTTCCATCAGTTATAGCAAGTTGCCCAGGCCCTGGAACAGCAAACATCACCACACCATCACACTGTGATGTGTAATGGTGTGTTAGCTTTACACCAGATACACTGAGAACCCATCAGTCCACAGAATTTTTCTTTTGATTCTGGCATAGTGTGCTGCTTGTGGTCCTTTTAGCCTGTTTCTGGAAAAATTATACTTAAGTGATTTTTAGATTTACAACAAGGCTGCCATTAACCAAGCCTGCATGAACGTTTTTCCAATTCCAATTCTCAACGAAATATGATTCATTGTCTTTTGTGTTTATTCAGGTTGCCTTTTCTTTTATTACATTTTGTTTGAAGATCTGAGACAATTGTGACAAGTATAATAAATGTGCAAAAAATAGAGGAAAACAAGAGGGGGCAAATACTTTTTCACAATACTGTATATCAATGTTGACAAAATCCCCATTTCTGTAGTTTTTTTGTTACATAATTTGAAAATTCAGAAAATTCATGAATCAAAATTACTTAAAATGAAATCTTGTTACATCAACATGCATTAAAAGTCAATGATTTCCTTTCCTCAAACAGTGCCATTTTGGAAAGAAAAGACATAGTTTTTTGTTACTGTTGGTACAGTCAGCTTCTTGATTTTAAGCAACCAAAGACGGGTTGAAAACAAAAAGGTCATAACATTTTAATTGTATTTAATTAGCTCACACTGAAGATTTAAGAAAAAAAGTTTCAAACAACCAGTGCTGTAGTGAATCTGCCTGGAAGGGGTCCTTGCTCCTCCACACAAGGAGGATGGTTAAAAGTTCATGATTGGAGATTTGCAGAAGATGGTAGCATTCTGGCATTGCCAAGTCTCCAAGACTACAATTAGATGTCACCTTCATGCCAAGAAACTATAGACTCTGGAGAAATTCTGTATGGAGGAGGGGGCTCTCAGATTGCTTGCTCTGTATTTTCTAATTATATTAAACAAATAATTAAATGCAGGGGTGCAAATTATTATGACAAATGTGATAATGTTAAACATATTTTTTTTGTTAAGGGTTTTTGTTTTCTAGACTAAATGTAGTTAAATTAAGTTAGATTTTTCTCACATTGTCTAATTAATAATATAATAATCATCTAATTAACCACAAAGATGTGTTTCTCATCACCTTTTTTTTACCCATCCTTACAAACAGTGCCAAAAATTATGGAGCTGACTGTATTGTGTCAGACTAAAGATATATTGGCTTTTTTGTCTTACCATACTTTGTCCTGTTGTTGTCTTGGGCTGAGGGACTGCTCCCTCTGAGACACTGGACTTCTCTCCATCAGGCCTTTCAATCAGGAGGTTTTCATTTAACATCAAAAGTTTTAACACTTGCAGTATGAGTTTATGACAAAATAGTAAATCCTGTATACATACCAATATGTATAAACAAATTTCCTTATGTGCACTTGTCTTACCGATGTGCCTATGCTGCCTTACCTTGTATCACCACAGTAGTGAGTTGTGTTCCATTGCTGTACTTGTGGACTGCAGCATGTACATACTTACATACTGTGCACAAGTTTTGTCTCTGTTGATCTCTTTCATCAATTGCTAGTTCTAACTAGTAAACAGGGGGTAACTGGATCTTTAGCCATGGAGAACCATCAAGGCCATCTAGGTCTTCGATGAAGACCTAATGATTTATTAGAACTAAAAATAAAAGCTGTAATTTTTAGTTCATTGTAATTTAATTATTGTAGAAATATTCTTTATTGTTATGTATTGGTTGAAAGCAGATGGTCCAAACTGGCCTGAAGGCGTTGCATGTTAACTAACTACCAACATAATTAGGAAGTGACAGAGGCAGAGTCCACCAGACAAATTTTAATTTCCTTTGAGTGGGACCAATTTATGAGAAAAATGTCACTCTGGCCTTATGGAAGCTCTGGTTATGTCACTGTGAATATGAACCCTAGGATATCATGCATGATTTCCCAGTGTTTTCAATCAAAATAGCATTTTATGGACCTACATTACAAATACTTTATTGATTGTTAATGCTTTAACAAGAACATCTTACCTGTAAAAAGATGTGGAGAGCCCTCCTTCAAAAGTGTTTGGGGTGTCCATGGACTGATGCTCATTTGCAGGCTGTGTGTTTTGTTCACTGAAAACAGTATCATAAATATCTTAATGCACTGAAAAAAAACTAAATAGATCACAATGTCCAGAGGTTTTGGACTTAGTGTTGGAATGAATGTGTTTACATAAATCTACCATCTGTTTCTAATGGTAGATAACATTTATGTTTAACTTGAATAGCTATGGACAATTACTACTACTGCTAGAACCATCTCATGCTTAAATGGTTGTTTGCATGGTGAAATGGTTCATCAGATTGATGGAGAGAATGTTCTATATATTCTATATATTTTTGAAAATGGTTCTAAATAGCACAAAAAAAGAGTTCTTCTATTGTTATGATGTCAAGCTTGTATAGAACCATATATAACACATTCTCCATCAATCTGAAGAACATTTCACCATTCAAACAAACATTTAAGCATGAAATGGCTCTATATAGAACTCATGGTTTTAAATAGAACTATTGCATTTACTAATGAACCCTTGAAGAACCACCTTTTTAAGTGTGTAGGAAATATTCTAAGAAAATAAACCTTTCTAGTCCATTAATCTTGGAAGAAACTACTTAATATAGACAAATAAGGCCTGACCTTCCAGCAGGACTCAGCTCACTGTTGTTGTCACAGGTACAGTCTATGTCATTTTCCATCTCCATGTTTGAATATGTGAAGGCTTTTTTTCCAGTCTCTTGAACTTATAAACAGAACATATAAGCAGGTGAGTCACATGTTGTTTTTTATTTTCCCCCCATTATGCTAAATTCAGCAAATAAACAGTACAATGTGCAGAGGTGTGTTCTCTGTAGAGGATGTGTACTTTTTTCACTTAGAACATCAACTAAAAGTGTAAATTGACCAGGAGCACTTAAACCGATTGCACGCAACTGTGTCTCACACTGGCTTGACTTTTTAATTATATACCTCCAGAACAACACTGAATACATCTGGATGTCATTTCTTTGGTTTCAGCCTCTCATGAAAGATGAGAACTCTGAAACTAACTATTACAATAGAATCCCACCGATTTTCTAAAATATCTGCATTATTTAATAATTGAGATGTAAACAAAGTCATTCATGTGACATTCTTCTTTAAAAAGAAACCTACCAAATCAGAATTAAGAACTGTACACAGCGGTGGTGTCAGGAACCAGACATCCGAAGGCAATGTCTCTATAACACACCTCACAGAAAGTTACTACATGAAATGGTTAGACTGCCTGATGTCCAATGATTTTGACCTAAAATATATTTTTTAAAAACATTCATGGTGCAGTGATACATGAAGTGATGCTCAGAAGACACAATGGTGGTTTTGGATTGTAAATAAAACGGCTATATTTGTGTTGTAGACATTGTGACCCCTGGTTCCCATCACCACTGTAAATAAACCTGAGAAACCTTGTTTCTCTACAATGAATCACTTCCCATTACCTCACTCTGAATGACATTGTTGACATCTCAAAAATGAAACGATGCAGAACTTTAGAAAAATCAGTAGAATTCACCTGTAAGTATTTATTTTAACCTACCAAAAGTGGTCTTTCAGTGCTACAGCATTACAATGAGGAAGGTAAAGGTTATTGGTCACTGTGACCCCCCAAAACACAACTTTTGCACCAAACTGTCCAACATGTGAGGTATGTTCTGAAGTCCACAAAAAACCCTA